GGGGGGGGCTCCACACCCGCGTGCAAAACCACAGGGTGCGGTGTTCACCGGGAATTGCCGTTCCGGGGGATGCAGGACGAGGCTCCCGAAACCACGCGCGAGTTTCGGTACAATTAACGCGACCCCCTTACCTGCTGCATCTTGCAAAACGTGGCTTTTGTTGCCTCTCTGGGCAGCCCGAGGGCTGCGGGCCTGCTGCTTCCCTGGAGAAAGCCGGGGGTCACAGCCGTGCGGGATCGGGGACGCCCCCGCTTACCGGCTGTAGAAACCCTTTGCTGTTCCCAGCTCAAGCGAGCGCCCGTGACGGGAACAACAGCTTCAGCTCTCCCAGCTCCCGGCCGCGGGAGTCCTGGCACGGTGTCGCACGACAAATCAAGCCTGGAGCTTTCCTTTATGGTTCTAGAACTGACTGGCACCAGGCCCAGGCAGGACCAGCCTAACCCCAGGGAGGGGCTTGAGGGAGGCGGCCCTGGGCAACTGCTAACTCGGCTGAGGGCTCCTAACGCTCGCGTTTGGCTTTTGGGGGTCTCTCTTACCCATCCACATTGGAAGCATTTCAGAAGAGGAAAAAAGCAACATGCACGTGACCAAGGAGAAGTCTTGTTATTTATTATCCACCCCTCCAGAGTATTTATTATCCAACATTCCAGAACAAAGACACTCTCCTTAAAGTGCTTTTTTTTTTTTAATGTTTTGTGAGCAACTTGTACAGAGCCTGCTCTCCGTGTCCTTTTCAGACGAGTGCTGGGCTTGCTTTGCAGTTGGTCTTGAAAAGGAGAACGCTCACGCTTGAGAGCCTTGGCGTAGGGGAAAGATTCCTGGGAATGGTCCGTGCTAAACTTACTCAAACAATTCCAGCTACTGCAGGCCACTTCTCAGCACATCTTCTACCAGGTAGCGCAGAGAACGAAGTGTCCGCAGCAGCTCGGGCTTCTGTTCACGCTTGCTGTCTACACCTCTGCCGTTCCGATAGGTTTTCGTAGCATTTAAGGGAAGTTGCCGTTGTAGAGAAGATGCCAGGTAATGCGCGGAGGCCTGGTGCTGCGCCGCGCGCGGTGGTGCCTCGCTCACAGTTCTTTACGCAGCACAACCAGGGGCAAGAGCCGGGCAGCTGAGCACGTCGGGGGTTTGGTTTTTTTTTTTAAAAGCAAGTTTTGCTGGCCAGACGTTTAAATCGGAGGTTAGTCCTGTTGAACTCGAAACGTTTCGTAGTCTTCAGGAATGGTGTCTGAGGGGGAGGAGATGAAAGCACATACAGGTTAGAAGGAGAACCAGAAAGAAACCAGGAGCGAGCTCCGGCACAGTGTCCCGCTGCAGCCGGACGCGCAGGCCAGCCAAGAACACAGCAACGTCCTGAAAGCAAAATGGCAAAGCTATCTGCGTTTGACATTCAGAACTCACTCACCGTTGCAGCGATAGCGCAGGTTTGACCAAATAATGTTCTCCTGGGAGAAGCAGAAGACTCCCAGGCGCCCTCCCCGCATGGTTGTATCAAGGACAACTCCAGTGTCTGCCACGACTTCAGGGCCTTCATAGAAGCGAGCTCTAGAGGAGAACGAGCGTGCGCAGGACGTGAGCATGAGCCTTGGAGAAACTGCTCCGCAGTCGGACCCTCTCCCTCCTCTTCCCCACAGGACTGCGCTAGCGCCGCCGCTTTTGCGCGTTAAACTTCCAGGCAGCCAGGTGAGGGGAAGCGCAAGCCCCTTACCTGATGTATCCCACCTGGGGCCGGTGCTGCAGGAACCAGCGGTAAGAGGTCTTGTCCTTCCAGCCAGAATTGCGAGGGTCTTTCCACAGCAGCTTGACCTGGTCTGTGGTGTCTCCGGTGTGCCAGAGAGAGTTGCGAAGATACTCACCCGGGCCTGTTTTAGACTTCACTGCCTAAGATGGAGAAACGAGTGGTGAAGTTGTGGATAACGGATTGGTCGAGCGTAGCCGCTTGCCCCGGGCAGCTAAGGGAAAGGCAAAAATCCACCCCCAAATTCTCTTTTGATGGCAGCTTTACCTTCAGCTGAATTCCAGGTTCTGCCACTGCTCGGAAGGGGTTTGCCTGCCAGTAGGTCTGCTCCATCTGCTTCCACATGACCACGTAAAAGCTGGAACTGTCCTGGTAGCCAAATATGAAGCCAGCATAATCGTCATCTGTGGCAGTGTTGACATGGAACGTGCCCTCAAAGTCCACTCCGTTGAACGCCGTGTAACCTGCAGGTGGTAGGAAAACAAAGACTCTGCATCCCACAACAAAACATAGATCCGGTTTTTGCTGGATTCAGACAAGGGAGGTGGATTTGGCTAAGCCAGGTCTGAAGACAGCCTACTACAGGAAATATTTTCCGCAGAGGTGGATGGAATTATTAAGTAGTGTCTGAAACACTTGTAAAAGCCGCACAGAGAAGTGCGCAGTTAACAAGCGATAATTTTCCAGTAGGACAAAACTAAATGCCTCACCTACAGCCAGGCCAGGGTCGCTGTTCATGGTCTGGACAATTTCCATGCCCTGGGAAAGATGAACGTTGACTCGTTAGCGCAGTTCCAGACTCACTTTACTGTTGTTAAGTGATCGGGGAGAGGTACACCGGGGTGGGACTGCAGGACTAGCACACTGTTCAACAGTACCGTTACACCTGCGGAGTCTTTCAATGAAAACTGCATCCCGTTTGGTACGGGCTGGTTCCCAGCTGACTCAGGAGCCCGTTCCGGAGCAGCCTCCTACCTGGTTGAGGACAATCCAGTTGGGATCGATCTGTGCGTCACCCTCGGGGTCCAACACAACTGTCTGGAAAGCCCTGAAGTCTGTCAGTGTCACTTCTGCGTTCTCTGGGCACACGTCGATTCTGTCGATCACCATGTCTCTGTCAAAGTCGTCTTCACAAAGGTTTCCCACACCATCACCTGAGAGCCCGAGAGAAGACAAGGAGTAACGAGCTTTCATTAATTCCTCCTGCCCCTTGCTCCTGAGGTTACGCAGCCCGCTTTTGCCTAGCACAGTGTCTGTGCAGGGTGCAGAGGTTTGCAGAGCACTGCTACGCCCTTCCCTTAAGGCAGCTGCAAAGAAACCCTGAGGCTTCTCTTACTTGCAGAGATGCTGTGAACAGAAGAAACACCTCAAATTGCAGACACTTCTGGAAGGGAACTTTTGCCAAATATGATCCTGGAGGCCAGGTTATTTGAGATCTGAAAAAGTAGGGCTTCTCCAGTCAGTACTGTCTGTCTCGAGAGGTCAAACATAAGCGTTGGCCACCAGGAACAGAAGACCCCCATGCAGGGCTAAAGTGCCTCCATTTCCCTTACCGTCAGAGTCTTCTTGGCCAGGGTTAGGGACAAGCCGACAGTTGTCGGGGCCTGGAGGTTTCTCATCTGGAATCCCATCATCATCGTCATCATCATCACATTCATCTCCCAGCCCGTCGTTGTCTGTGTCCACCTGGGAGCTGTTGGGCACTGATGGGCAGTTGTCCCGTGAATCTTGGTGGCCATCCCCATCACTGGTGGAGAAAATTACAGGGGGAGATTATCCGCTGACACGTGCTTCTAAAATACGCCCGCAGCACCTTTCTAGGAGCTGGGATCCTTGGCAAGAACAGCACGAGTTGGTGACTTCAGCCTTACGAAGTCTAAGCTATTAGTTACACCAACAGTAGATCAGAAATGTTCCAGCTTAGTGCATGAACAAAGTGAGAGTGGTGGCTGATGACGAGCAAGCCTGCTGTCAGCAAGAAAATGCCCACCTCCCTTAGCCTCTGTCTTTTTATCGGGTAAGGCCAAGCCAGGTTGCCACGGAGTTGCCCTTTTTTCCCCTCTCCATCCCCACAATTTCATGCAACCTACATATAATTTTTGCAGCAAGCTCTTACCTGTCCTGGTTGGTGTCACAGACATCTCCCACTAGATCGTGATCGGTATCTTTCTAGTAAAATAAAGCAATCATAATTTAAACTTTCCACAGATCAAGAGGAGGATTAGGCAATAAAGAGAACAAAAGAGAGGGATTTGTTAGCCTCAGTGCCATGATCGTTCCGCTTGAAAACAGAGCTGACAACACTGGGAGAGTTCCTGCTGCAGGATTCGCACGTCGCCCTGGTGAATTCAAGCAGCGCTATTTGTAAACACAGATGAGGAAGGCAGGAAGAGGGAATTCCAGAGTGCAACACCTCCTCTCTGACTCCTCTATACCCCAGGATGTTGGATCTCGAGGGGCTGTGCTTTTGTACTGCAGGATGGCAGCTAAAATTTGCAAGCAGTAACCTTGGTGAGTGGCCAGGTCTGCACACCAGGCAGGGGACACAAGCACTGCCCCTAGTGAACAAATGAACCTGTAAGCCTGCAAAACTGGGAGCGCTCACTTACCTGGTCTGGGTTACTGAGTGTTGGGCAGCTGTCACACACATCTCCTACTCCATCACCATCACCGTCTTTTTGATCAGGGTTAGGAACTCGTATACAGTTGTCCATGGGATTTTTGATCCCTGTAAAACGTGCAAAGGGGACCCGTCAAAGCAAACAGGGCTGTTGAGGTCGATGCAGCCAGGTCTCTTTTGGGTGTAAGGTGGCAAAAATCTAGGACAGTTGAATTCACATAGTAAAGCAACAATTTCAATTTTTGTGTACATCTTACACACTTCTAAAGGACGGAAGAGATCAGCAGCAACCGATCTTAAAACATAGTCCTGGCTGCTTCATGATGGGTGTCTGAGCATGCTACTGCACGTGAACCTGAGAGGAACTGTCCCTAACTGCAATCCTTGGAGAAAGCTGAAGAACCGAAGACCATGTCTCCAAACTGGCATCGTATCTATGCAGGAGTGAGTGGCCAAGAAGATGAAGATGAAACTGTCTGCGGTTCCCTAAACCATGACAGGGTCTTTTTTCCTCTAAAGTAGACGTCTATATAATTATAAAGTCAGTCAGGGTTAATCTTGGCTATTTGACATGGGATTTAGACGGTGCCCCGAGACAGGACAGGAACAATCTAATTAATTGGCAACCTGGGTGACTTCACTTCCCACTTCTCTGCATTTACCTACTACGCCAGCAGATCATGCCAACAGGGAGCTACTTGGCAGGATGCAGCCAGACCCAAACAGCGCTGGATGCACTGGAAATACTCTGTAAATAAATACGTATGTCTCAGGCCAGCAGCAGTTGTGATTTCTGGCTTTTGAAAGCAGGCTTTGTGCAAATACAGCATCATTAGCGCACAGACTGTTTTTAGAGCCAGCCAGGGCTTTTTTTCCCCCCCAGAAGACAGCCCTGACACAGGCTGCCTTGAGCCAGCAGCTGCTAACAACTTGGATATCCCCACACTTCCTCATAAGTTTAAACTGCCGCAAAAAGTAGTGTCCTTGTCTGGACTGAGCTCAGTTTGCATGGTACATCTTTCTTTCTTCAGTCTGACACAGGTTTGACGTGATTGTGCACACTAAGAGTGCTAATAAACATTGGTAGCGCCATCCTGAAGATAGATCTTTAAACCCTGCAAGAGCTGAACTGTGAAGGATGCAGGCTTGACTGCTCATCTTGGCATCTTAAGAACTATGCTTCATCCCACCAGGCATTAGTTCTACTCCTGCACAGCTCAAGCCTCTGACAGCTGGGACCTCCGTGAGGAGCTCTAGCTGCGTGCTGAAGAGCTTTCTGGTTCTTCACTCGGTATATATGCACCTCTCTGAGGATGCTCTCCAGCTGCTCTTACCATCTCCATCCATGTCATCATCACACTCGTCGCCCTTCCCATCGCCATCAATGTCCCGCTGATCGTTGTTCTTCACTTGGCGACAGTTGTCACAGGCATCACCAAAGTTGTCCTTGTCTACATTGCGCTGGTCTGCGTTGCGCGTGTACACGCAGTTGTCCTGCAGGAGAGAGGGACTGGCTGAGGGGAAATGTTTGGCACCGAGCATGCTACTGAGGAGTAAGACAGACAGAAGTTCTGAGGTGTGTGGCCAGCTACTTGGAGAAGCCCAGCCTATCTGCAGCCAGTCTTGGTTTCCTCTATTCAGCCTTGTCACTGCCTGTTGAGGGAATGCCAGTAGCACCTGAAAATATCTCCAGCCAGTGCCTGACCAAGTGAGAGACTCCCTGACTCCCAGGGGAACATGACTTATGAAGTCTCTTCAGTGCCATGATGTTCTCTCCTGTCTGCTTGGGTTTGGAGTCTTCAGACCACCCAGATTAAAAGGAAACATTGCGTGCCGTGACCTGCAGGTTCTCTAAATTCACACTAAAGGTGTAGGCAGTTGCTTTGCAGGACCTCTGGGTACATTTAGGAATGTCAGGGCTTAAGCATTAGAATCCAAACCTCAGCATTTAAAATCCCATCTCCGTCAGCGTCATCGTCACAGGCGTCTCCAATTCCATCCCTGTCTGCATCCTCCTGGCCAGAGTTGGGGACAGTCACGCAGTTATCCTGAAAGAAAAGCAACAAAGGGCCTGCTGGCAAGATGTGCACGTCAGTAGCCCGAGTTCTGAGGGTTGGTCAGGGTCTCACCAGCACCAAGGCCTGCCCTCAAATCAGAATTGCCCAGTTCTGGTGAGGCACTCCTCTTGTACACTGTTTCCAGCAAAACAAGAGACAACTGCATCTTACCTTGCGGCATTTTTTGTCAGAGCAGCGTTGCTTCTCATCAGGGACTCCATCAATGTCCGTATCCTTCCCGCAGACATAGCCGTTCCCTGCCCACCCCACGAGGCACTGGAAGAGAGCAGATGAACAAAATCAGGCTGCCGGTGAGTCCCCTGATGGCTATATGCCTCCAAAATTGAAGGCTTTACATGAGAACCAGCACAAAACATGGCAAATGCAGGTACACAATGCTCTACAGGAAAAATATTGTCTGGAAGAAGCAGTTATGCTGTAAATAGCATTTTAAATAGCTCAGAAGCTCTCCGCTTGTTCCTGAGATCATAAAGACATGCAGCAGCAAAACTTGGCTCCAGCAGGTGCTTCTCCCTGCTCAGCTGCGTGTAATGTTCCATGACTGACAAATTTGTAGTGCTTCAGGCAAAAAAACCCACCCAAACCCAATGAAACAACAGTGGATCTGAGGTGCCAGGAACAGTCTGCTTCTCCAGAGAGCACTGAAAGGCGTATTGCTGTAGCTCAGGTGTTAATGGAGAGGAGGTCTGTGTCGGGAAGGCACGCTCTCCAGGAGAGGGCAGTGGCAGACCCAGGAGAGCAAGCACAGTGCAAGGGAAAGCGGAGCGAGCAGACCCCAGTCGCAGGGAGGTTTGGACCTTACCACGCAGGAGAGGGACCCGTCGCGCTCCACGATGCACTGTGCTTTCTCATGGCATGGACTAATTTCACCATTAGGGCATCGTCTCACTGTCTGGCTCCTGCAGCCGGTGACTTGATCCCCAACAAAGCCAGGTTTACAAGCCCCGCACTTGTAGGATCCCTACAAGAAAAAGCAATAGGGAATTAACTACAGCACGAGTCCTGGCAAACCTTTGCTGTAACCTTCCTCAGCAGCTGGAGCCACGGCTAACAGAGGCCCCAGAGCCTGGGGAAGAGAGATCCACATGAGGCTTGCCAGTAATATTTACCCGTGTATTGATGCAGATGGAGTTTGGGACACAATTTCTGGCAGCACCCGTCTCACATTCATTGATGTCAGTACAAACCTGCCCAGGAAGAACAAAATAAACATTAACTTCACTCTTAAGCAGACGCTACATGAGATTCCAGAATTAGGGCATCACAAGATGCAGAAGCAAAGCCCCTAACACACCTTACTAGGACCCACAGCTCAAAGTTTTCCTTCAGACAAGCTTGAGCCAGATCCCAGCAATGCTCCCGACCCCAGGCAAGCTGTTCACCCTCTGCAGAGTCACCAGAGGTTTTAGCCTGGCAAAATAGCTCAGCTCTGAGCTGAGCTGTCAGAGTATCTCCTTACTGTAAAAGGATAGAAGAGAGTCAATGGAGCAAGAAGGTCAAAGACTGTGTCCTATGACCAGCTAGCAGCTCTCTA